CTTAAAAAAGTCTGTAATCGAGACGACAGCTATAGCCCACTACGAAGAGACCTTTAAAAGTCCGTAATCAAGACAACAGCTCTATCTGACCAAGATAGGGACCTTTTTTCCAGTCAGTCATTGAGGTGACAGCTATAGTCGACCCTTGGGGACCTTTTTCCAGTCGGTCATTGAGATGACAGCTATAGTCGACCCTTGGGGACCTTTAAAAGTCTGCCATCGAGACGCCAACTCTATCCTACCAAGATTGGGAACTTTTTCCAGTCGGTCATTGAGATGACAGCTATAGTCGACCCTTAGGGACCTTTAAAAGTCTGCCATCGAGACGACAACTCTATCCGACCAAGATTGGGAACTTTTTCCTGTCAGTCGGCAAGACGACAGATGCCTCTCGCTAAGATGGAGACATTTCCAAAGCCTATCATCAAGACGACAGCTGCCTCTCACTATGATGGAGACATTTTCAAAGCCTATCATCGAGACAACAGCTGTGTCTGACCAGCAGAAAGGAGACAACGACACTTACAGAGTCACTGACACTGACACCCACACTGATGTTGACACAGACACTATCATTGACACAGCCACTGACACCCATACAGTGTCAGTACGTCAGGAAAAAACCATCAGTCAGTGGACAGTTCATTGAAAATGGAAATACAAATTCGTTGAAAAATGAATAAAGCACACAGTAGGGAGGGCCCAGGTGTGATCGCCAAACGTTGTTACCGGACAAAATTCTTTGCCTTGTCGACAGACCGAAGGGCTAGAACCAAAATGGCTGCTGGATCGGAAAAGTAAAGTAAAGTAAAAGTGACCAGACAGAGAAAGCAAAACAGATAAAAAAAACCTCTACAAACATACGGAAAGTGAAAGATAAACCTGTTGTGTCAATCTAATCCACCATTAAAGAGGGTCGGTAAGAACAGATTGAATAAAAGGTCCCCCCCCCCTAAAAAAAAAGAAAAAAAAGAGGCGGTAAGATAGAGGCAAAAACGAACGACCAAACTATTCAAACAGACAAAGACAAAGTCAGAATGATTCCAGGAAATAAATGGCACCGAGTGTAAATTGAACACAGGACAGACAGATAATTCTTCACACTTATCACACACACAACAAAGAGACGTGTTGTCTCCCCTTTGTCTCCACCCCGACACACACACACACACATATATATATATATATATATATATATATATATATACCTCGCTGACACATCAATAAAACACGGGCACTCACTACATCATTACAAAAACACTGCTCGCGGGGAATCAGCTCACAAAAAGAAAGAGGCAAATGTTTAATTTTAAAAAAGCTTTTACGGAGCCCACTACTGCATATAAGGTCATAATATATATATATACGAGTGAGGAGAGCCAAGGGGTGGGTGTCAGCAGAGAAGTCCTTACAAGGGGCAAACGGGCTGAGAAGAAGACAGACACACCAAAAGTACAGTAAGCACTAGAGGTTAGTTTGTCGATGGTTGGGGACATTTACACAGGCTGAGAGGAGCGGGTCTAACTACCTAACTAAAGTAGATTCATGTTCAGTACAATGTTATGTAAATGACTATGTATCCATTTATGTACTTTGTCAATTGCATTGTGCATATTATTTTATTATGTGAATTTGTATGAGCTCATTTCGTAACAGTGTGTAAGCGTGTGCGAGTGATAAGCAAGTAGGTGTGTGTGTGTGTGTATGTATGTGTGTGTGTGTGTGTGTGTGTGTGTGTGTGTGTGTGTGTGTGTGTGTGTGCGTGTATGTGTGCGCACATGTTTGGCATGCATGTGCATGCACGTGTGTGAGTATTGTGGGCATATAATGTGAGCGTGAGTGTGTGTTTGTGGGTATATGTGTGTGTGTGTGTGTGTGTGTGTGTGAGTGTGTGCGAGTGTGTGAGTGTGCATGCGTGAAAATTGTTTGTACATGCATTTATGTAAAAAGCACCTAGAGCTGTGTTCACACGGGAGTGGGCGCTATAGAAATGATCTTCATCATTATTATTATTATCATTATCATTTACAGGGATGACGGGTGTTCACAGTAGAAATGTTGGTCCAAGACCCAGCACGCTGGGCATATGTGAGCGGAAAAACGGATAAATTCTCGACTCGTGTGCTCGTTTTGAGGTAATCATTGCGGAGAATGTTGGTCCTGAGCAAAATGAGAGAAGCCAAAAAGATGCAACGTCAACAAAATAACCATAAAAATGGCCCATGTCAAACTCAGGTTAGTTTAGTTTTAGTAGAGGTTTTACGGCGCTCGCAACTGCATAAGGTCATAGGAGCGCCCAGAAGATTAGAGGTGTTACAAGAGAGTAACAAACATAAAAAAGAAGAAGGGGGAGATAAGGACGATAGATGTTTGATTGATAGGAAAGAAGAAGCAAAACCACACCAGAGCACCTGCCAACCACCCACTGTCAAACTTAGGCTGTAAAATCAAACGGATCTTTCTGGACTATCTACAAAGGAAAGTCTATCACAAAGTGATTAGATGAGGTAACATGTAAAAATGAAAGAAAAAAAAATTCCAAATAGTAAAGCAATTATCATATTTTTTCTGGTTTACTCAAAAACTATAATTAACCCTATCCGTACGCCTGGGGTCATTTTGTACCCCCAGGGGGTTGTATTCTTCAGGTTTGAGAATCGGTACATCAGAGTTGTATTACAAATACCAAAACAATTCCTTTCACACATATCTCTACATCAAAATACAATCAACGACAGTAGAAGAAAGTGTATACAAATCAAGAAAAAAACAAAAAACCCAACAAAAAACAACAAAGATTTGTTTCCTTTACAAATATAAAAAAAATAATGAAAACAGCAAAAAACAATAAAGAATTGTTTTCTCTACATATATCAAAAAAATAATGAAAACAGCAAAAAACAATAAAGAATTGTTTCCTTTACATATATCCCCCCCCCCCCCCCCCCCAAAAAAAATGAAAACAGCAAAAAAAACAAAAAACGAGACACTCTGTTGAAATCTTCTCACAAAAACACATGATCTGAAAATCTTAAATCTTTGCCAACAACACATCAGCATCTGCACAATCATCACAAGAAGAATGTAGGACCTCCCCTCCGACGTAGTAAAACCCAGGTGAATTGGAACGAAATGTGACCAAAAAAACACCCCAAAAAAAAATGGGACCAAAAAAAGGGGACAAAAGACAAGGAGTAGAATTATTATTACGGTAAATCGGGGGGCATCGCTGAACATCTTCTTCACTGAACACTTTCACATTAGCGTAGTTCGTGTTCAGTCTTGTGGTCAGACAGAGGTACGTAAATCTGATTAAATAAACAACAACAACAACAACAAAAAAACCCGGCCAAGTCTGGAATTAGCCAGAGTCTCTTTGTCTCGGCCGAGACGACCCTAAGGTCCAACACACATTGCGAGAACAGAACCTAGCATGGCACTGAAAGTACAGGAAATTGAAGAGAACAAGTCATGATCTTTCGCCTGTGAACACAACACATCCCACTAAATTCCTACCTTAATAGGATCCGCAAGGATACCCCGCCCGCCTGCCCGCTGTGCGACTGCCAGGATGAAACAGTACCCCACCACCTCTTTACCTGCCCTGCACTTTGCAACCTGCGTAGCACCTACCTACCTACCTGCCTCCCCAGACATCGGAAATACTCTATACAGCGACAAAGCACAGCTGATAAAAGCCTGTCAATTCTTTGCCATATGGACAGACCGAAGGGCTAGAACCAAAATGGCCGCTGGACCGGAAAAGTAAAAGTAAAAGTAAAGTACAGGAACACAACGGCAGCAGCTCTGCCCTAAGCTGACGATACTTCCTTTTTTTCTTTCTTCAGAGCAGTTTCGAGAAAAAAAAAAAGGGTTTTTAGTAAGCTTTATCACTTAAAAATAAGAGTAATTCCCAATAATGACTGTAGTTTTGAAAAGTAAAAACGGGAATGAACAATGTTGCGAACGTTGCAATAACGATTCTTTGATATCACGATTATTTCCCCCTCTTGACACTACGTCTCGTATTGTTTCGTTTTGAATTCGAGATCTTAATGTAAAAGAAAAACAATAAACCAGTTTTCCGGCAGGCTAGGTGAGCAAACAGGCTGTGTTTCGTCTTCTTTACAAGTTTTAATCCTTTTATAACGTGATGCAATATAATACAGCCGTCACAATTCCGAAATCTAAATTATTCATCACAGTTTCAATTTGATTCTTTCACACAAGTAGGGATACTGATCAGGCTTTCAGTTTAGCGGCTTAAAAAAATTTGGCGCCAAAATGAAAAAAAAAAAAGGATTGTCAGCTTACGGTAGAGCTCTCTCTCTCCCCGACATCCCACGACCACGGACAGATCTCAGGCATGACATCACACAAAGACGCACCGCTCTCAGACACATTTGTGAGGCAGCGTGGTGAAGTCAGGCGCTCGTCAAAATAATCAAAGTAGAGAAACTGACTCTTTTTCGCAGGTATGGCAATTTTTACCCAAATTTAGTTTTTTTGCTCAACACTTTCAGACTTCATTTACTAAGCTATTTCAGTGTGAATTATACTGAAAAATGTTGATTAAAGGCACAACAAATGTACATTGTCAGTTTCCATGAGACTCTGGGGCTTTTAAAATAACGAAACTTCGGAAGCAATTTTCTCTGAAACCGGGCCACCCCACCTCATTCAATGGCAAAAATCTCGACCTGCACTCAAGATAAATGGGCAATTATTTAATCGAAATCAAGGCAAATGAACAAAATGTAAGGTGATACTATAAGTCCACATTCCCAAAAACCTGACCAGCGCCTGATTCCACCTCGCTGTGACACATTTCTCTCGGACCAGTTCGCCACAACAATCAACCTCAGTTTCTCTTAGTCTTAGTACTTCTAATCAACCTCAGTTTCTCTTAGTCTTAGTACTTCTAATCAACCTCAGTTTCTCTTAGTCTTAGTACTTCTAATCAACCTCAGTTTCTCTTAGTCTTAGTACTTCTCCTTCACTTTTTTCTAAAATGTCACCGCCTTCTCTATAATATTATTACTCGTTATTCTGAGCATATAAGTATGAATACATGTGTGCGTACATATTATATATACACAAACATTTATGCAAGTATGTATAAATACACCACACACACACACATCTAGAAAATGGCATCTTCAGAGAGGAGCTACCAGTGATGTCTACAACTTCAATTTTGGCAGTTCCAAAGACGTTGAGATTTTGCCACAACAATTTTTCCCACATACATTTTTTTCCCACACACCACAATCTCAATCAAAACATAAGATTTGTCTTCTGAATATCACAAAAACATGCAAAAAAAACATTTCAAAAACAAAAACTAAGCATGATAACGTTCTGTATGTAATGGGGATTTAGTAGATCCTAACTCCCCCACCCTTCTCACTTCTGTCTGTCATTTAAAAAAAATAAAAAAAAAAAAGAAATGATGAATAAAAGTTCCATTTTGAGCACTGCGGTAACCGTAGGTCAGCACCGACCATTATTATTAACGCAAAACACTCAAGACACCGAGGAATCTTGTTCTGATGCAGAACAGGGCCTGGATGGATGGTTCAGCAGGAGGAATATTATTTTATATATATATATGAAAACGTATAATACTGTCCCATACATACTATCATACTGTGCCCTTCAACTTTAACAACATGTCATACTTTCTTTTGTTTAACACTTTGCCATCATATTTTGGGGAAAATCAAAAGAAACTGGGCGGTAAACATCGCCAATTGGCGAAACGAGGTGGCAAAGTATTAAAAAGATGCCTATTAATTACCGATAGATAGTTCGTTTTTTTTGGTTAACTCACACAGTTTGTCAATACTACACCTCCAATCGGCAGATCCCCGCTGTAGTTTTCAATAATTGTAATAAAATTCCTGCACGTGGTTGAATGATGCATTTGATGTGAATGTACATTTTGTCAGGCTTACTTCTCTTTTCATATTGAATTTTAATGAGAGTGATATATAATTTAAATTTTTCATGTATACCTGCATGAGTTTTTACCGTCCTGCACAGCCAAGAAAAATGTCCCTCTGGGATAATAAAATATTACCTTATCTTATGTTATCTTAATTCTGAAAGTGAACTTCATATTAACGACACCAAATGAACTTGAACAAAACTTATCACAAGGTCAACGTGTCGAGTAAACAACAACAACATGGCGCCAGTTCACCTGGCACATAGACGGAGAATAAAATTGCGAATGTAAAATTGAGGAATAAAGCATACACAATCAAGCAGGCAGTTATTGCATAAAGGCAAACGAATAAAAATCGATGGAAAATTATGGCTACATAATTGTAATTTATACAAACTCAGTAGGCCTGTACGCCAGGAAACATTGTCATCCAACAAACCGCAAAAAAAAGAACATCCCTCGTGATACAAACTATCTCATAATCTGTCACTTTGTTTTTAAAAAAACATCCCTCGTGATACAAACTATCTCATAATCTGTCATTCTGTTTTTAAAAAAACGCCAGCAAAAACATACAACTATGGGGGGGAAGAAGAAAAAAAAGATTGCTATCATGTGGTATTCCTAAAGTCTCCGAGAGAGAGGCTCTTAGGTTTTCCACACCTTGTTGAAGAAGTGCATGAAGTTGTCGTAGATCATGAAGGTGATAGCCACGTCCAGCGTCACACGGCTCAGCCGCGGTACGGTGCCCTTGTAGAAACTGGAAGAGGAAAAAAAAATCGGGATTTATTTTCAAAACATATTTGAAATGTGCTGACGAAATGAGTTACTACTTCTCGGATTTGAGCTTTTAAAATAACGAAACTTCGGAAGCAATTTTCTCTGAAAACAGGCCACCCCACCTCATTCAATGGCAAATATCTCGACCTGCACTCAAGATAAATGGGCAATTATTTAATCGAAATAAAGGCAAATGAACAAGTTGTAAG